ACTTTGTCCAAACAATAAAAATAAATGTAAACCGCGTACATGGGTACACTAAGTCGGTTATGCGTTTCTTGGAATGCCATATAAATACTTGCGGCTACGCGTACCTTCTGTAACTAGGAGTACCCATGTACGCGCTGGCCGTACGCAGCTTAAGAGTTCCATACTCAGCGGCTTTCATCGGAAACTTATTACTAAACCTCCGCGCTCCGTTGCCAAGTATAAATTAATATTGAAAGTATATAACCACTATACAGAGAAATATTAAAAATTCGTAAGATTGAAATTAATAAAAGAAGCTCTTACGATATTTATTACTAGACATAAATAAAAGTACGGAAGCCTTTGTGTGCCAAGAGCCCGACTCGCACTTGGCCGGTTTAATTATTATTCTCTCTTGCTCCCGGAGCTGTATAATCACGTTTTCAAATTTTAATTTGTGATTGCATTTTCTAATTTCTTAAAAGCAAAACTTCCTTACTCACTAAGCATTTCAGAAATAACCTAATCGGGTTTTAATTATTGTACATATACCTGAAAAAGGTAACAACTGAGTATTGAACGCACACAATGCCATTACATGAACACTAATTTCTATACAACAATAAGTCACTCTATTTATTACACAAAACTTCACACAGCAAAATTCCTTAGAGCTATAAAAGTCAAGAGCCCTGAAAATGGTGTAAGCATTAGGCGAAGCAATATTTTAACAGCAGTCTAAGGGCGTAAATAATTCAAGTCACAATATATTTCCAATAATTTGAGGAAAAGTCGTGTCGTAATGGAACGGGATCAGTCTGGTGTCTACACCAAGATAAATTACATTTTTGTCCATTTCATAGTAAATGTCGAACGCGAAGAAACGCTGCCTGCCACATAATATATTTTCTTCACCACAATTTTCTGGTCTCTTACATTTCGAGTACTTACCTATATATTTGTCTAAGATATATAAAGAATAAAAATCGGCAGCAAAAAAGTAAGCTTAAACAAAAATATGATATAAACTAAAGTAGTATTTCTTCTTTTGAAAGTATAATCTCTAAAATGTTGAAAGTTGAAAGTTTATCTAGCTCCAATTAAAATGTAATTGTTGTTTAATGTAAGTAAAAATAAAAATTGAAATGTATATATATATATATATATATATATATATATATATATATATATATATATATATATATACCTATATGTATAATGTACAACAACATGAAATGTAATGAATAAATTATTATTATCATGTGTAAAGGTATTTCGTGTGACATTGTGAGTAATGTCATAGTAAATTAACGTGCAAACTTAGCAATAGTAGAAGATATTTGCACTTTCCTGTGTTGCGAATGACTGTTTGGAGTTCGCTCTAACCATACAGAAGACTGTTTAATTTCATTAGAACTTTTCGTTTAGTTTATGGTTTTATGAAATATATTTTTGATACTCTCACTGTTATAAAATTATAACTGTCAATAATAAAACATACAAAATACGAGAAGACAAATCTTTCCTATTTTCATAATAATATACCAAATCCTATAACTCTAATACCGAAGCAGACGACCATTATTATAGCAACGTTTTCAAAGAGCATAATGAAATTAAACTACCTTTTGGTCGTGTTGGGTTCTGTTGGTGATGCAGGTTCCCAGAGATCGCTTGGTAGCTGTTTGGTAGCGTAACCGGCAATAGCAACTCGCAAATAATAGGGGTGATGACTGGGTAAAGTAAACAAAATTCTATTTAGTCCGTCTGTCCGTTCGTTAGATTGTCAAAAAAATAACGGATTTGTAATTTTTATTTTGTCCATCAGCCAAAAAATTACAAAGATAAAGCGCGTCAATAATTGGAAATGGGAGCTCGTGACGTCACTTCTATGTAAAAAAAGCACCGAGATGTAAACGTCATGCGACATTTCAAATCAATGTATCTATTTCATGTTTTGATAATGTGAATAAAAAAATCGCGTCCATTATTTTCTGATTATCTACCTGATAGATGAAGAAAAGAAGTTGAAGTTAGTCATCATTCCTTTTATACTTCTAGTGTTGCAGGTGTCTATAAACTGCCGGAGATACTTCTCTCAGACAGACTTCCTGCTTGTATCATGGTATAAATAAATAAATCCATCAATATATATAAAACTAAAAAAGGTGACTGACAGACTGACATAGTGATCTATCAACGCACAGACCAAACCACTGAACGGATCGGGCTGAAATTTGGCATGCAGGTAGATGTTACGTAGGCATACGCTAAGAAATGATTTTGATCAATTCTACCCCCAAGGGGATAAAATAGGGATTGAAAGTTTGTATGAAACTTTATCAATTTTAAACCGACCGGGCTGAGACTTTGCATGCAGGTATAAGAGGAATCATAGATGAATGTCATTGTGTATAATACAAGCCTGAGAACAAAAACTGTAATCTACACTCCAGCTCTACACCGAAGCGAAGCAAAGGCGAGCCACTAGTATCATATATGTATCCATTGTATCATGACCTCAGCATGCTTTCTAAAGAACTTAATGTTTCCATTCGAAAAAACGTAGCAAAAGCCAGAGCGAGGCTGTTGAAAGCTTTGGTCGTTGAGTAGTGTAGCCAAACTTCAGATATCTTGTAACCACACATGAACTCACAAAGAAATATCAAACTATCTCAATCGATTGTGAACCTTGCATCAAGCAAGATAAAACTCGAAATCTGTTGGGATAGTTTACCAGTTGTAGATGTTTTTCTCTCTGTACCTCCCTGAGCTTAAACTAGGCGGGGTAGCAATTAGTAAACCCGAAACGTTATGCAGTCTCTGCTCATTACAGAGAAACTCGTTCATGTTATATAAATTAGCCCGTATAACTTTCAATGAGTTTTATTCTACAGTTTTTGATGTGTACCATCTTTTCTCTCGCTTTCATGCAATTTGTGGGAGTGATTACGTGAAGTGGGATGAAAGCGTGTAACAGGAAGTTTAGAAAGCGCGCGCTATTAGATTTGATTTTAGAACATTATGTTCAAATGGCTTCCTTTTGTAGTAGGTTTTATATCTTTTTTTACTAATATAATTTTTTACTTATACTTTTATAATATAAATGTTACACATCATACGCGACTACTATAAGGCTCGCTCGTTTTTTTTTATCTAAAAAGAACGATCGGTCGAAAAATAGGCGAGTTCCTGTATAAAAGTCTAGTCTTTACAAGTACATAAGAAATGCTTTCTACACTATTGTTGCACAAAATCACGTACGGCCTTTACGAGACTTCCATAGACTTTATGCCCGTAAATCTTTCTAACAGGATAAAAATAATCTTATACTTGAAATAACGGCCAGTTCCTCGTTACTTGTGGAACACTCAAGTTTCTTTTTAAAAGGTTCTATTTATCTTTTTAATATTTACTTCTGTGTTGACTTTACTTTGATTTTGAGTTGATTGAAAAGTTAAGAACAATCAAAAAGAACCTGTATTTTTTTTAATGTGTTTACTTTTAGTTTTAATACGAAGCTTGATTATATGAATTTAGTTAATTTCCAACAGTAAACAATACCAAAATCATAATATGGTCGATGTATCTCCGTTTATTGTCATGGTATCTCCGTTAATTCTTATAATGTAGAGGATATATATACATGACAACGTTGAAAAGTGTTACTATTAACTACTATTAATACCTTTCAATGTTGTCATATGTTACACATTAACGTCAACGCGTGAAAACCAAACAACAATGGCCATTGATTTCATTTTCACAGATGCTTTTGTTCTCAGAATAGAATAAACATCAAACTGAAACGCATACAGAATTTGTAATACTGGAAAAATAATATGGGGGCTCAATATTGATAATAGCCGAAAAACGTGTTATTGTCAATTGCTGAAGTTTGATTCGGCAATTTTTTCAACAAAAACGTGAATAAGATAATTATTCGCTGTTGTTTATTTACCTTGTCAAATGCCAGTCGGAAGTCAAGACAAACAAAATCCACTTGGAAGTTACTTACCAACATATTCAAAATAAACTTATAAACGTTAATGGATTCGTTGCGCCTTGTGATATTTAAAATACATCGTACTTGGCAGAAAATCAGTAATTACACACACGCACATACACACACACACACATACAAACTCATACATTTTTATTTTATACTAGCTGTCCCAGCGAACTTCGTACCGCGATAAAAAATAGGAGTTGGTGGTAGAAGGGTGAAAATTTAGGGTTAAATGTATTTTTGTATGGACCTTAAACCTTTAACATTTAGGAGATGAAAAATAGATATTGTCCGATGTTTAGACCTACTGAATATGCATATAAAATTTCACGAAAATCGGTCGAGCCGTTTCGGAGTAGTTCAATTAAGCTCAACGTGACACGAGAATTTTATATATTAGCTTATACTGTGCTTTTATATATTTATACAGTGCTTTCTGTTATGAATTTCATAAACTTAATCGTATTTTTTATGAATAATCGTATTAAATAAGTAAGTCGAGGATGGCTTATTTAAGTAATATCTTACCAATGTAATTAATTATTTATCTATAAAATGTTGCCAACCCAAATAAAAAAAATAGACGACATAATGAAAAGCAGTGTACGTACCTCCCTACCACGGAGGTCGTCGTTTATAAAACTTGTAAACCACCGGTTCTTTTCTTAATACCCAATGCCAAAATGCAACAGAGAAAATGCATATTAAAGATATATTTGCCATTAACTAACTGATACGTGGTTACCTCATATTATATCATGTTGATTTTCATCATAAATATTACAATGGAGCTTCGCATTTCAACATGAAACGTACCGCTGACTTTTATGTTTATATCCCCGGAATCCGAATGACGTGCCATATTACATTCTCTCGCAGCGAACACATCCGTATTAATATCCGCCTTGAAAATTTCATAATCTAACCACGAACGGAAAGCTCCAACGAAGGTCAACAAAACTTCGTGTCCGAAACAAGGAGGTCGGTGTTTCAAACATATCTCGTTTTGCAGGTGGTCGCTACTTATGTGGCTGCGAATTCGTCGCTCCAGTTCATTCCAGAGCGGCCCATACATTGGGCAGGGGGGAGGCTGACACCCCCTCCCGACACCCCCGAGTGCGGCTTCGACGGCACTCTGTGTCCAGATAACTGTAAGTAGAACAATGTGTTGAGTGAATGAGATTGCGGATTTGCTTTTTAATTTATAGAGAGTTTTATTGCGAGAGGTTGGGCATGGCGAATTTTTTGCACGAATTAGAGCAGTCCGCCTGGGGAAGTCATCTCTACCTTACAAAAGATCACAAGGAAATGACACTGCCTTTTAGTTGTATTGTAGTCGTATGTCAGTGAGGAAGGTTCCACGTTTTCACGGGGTAGTAAATGGGATCTGGGTAGGCAGCGTTCGTAGTGATATTTTTGCGGCCGCTTACCATCAAGCGTGTAATGTCCTTATGAGATTAAAAAACCGTCCATGTGCGAGTGGGATTTGTGCACGAAGGGTTTTGTACCAATATCTTTCCAACAGTATACACTATATTGTAATATCGGGAAAAAAACGGCTAAAATGACGTCTGTTATTTGGAAGCCCCCCTTAATTTTTTAGGCCATCTTGTGACAGACAGATAGACGGACAGTAGAGTTGTAGTCCCGTTTTTACCATTTGGGTATAGAGCCTTAAAAAAATAACTTTTGGTTAGTGTATACCTAACCAACCGACGAAGGAGTAGGATATTTTTAATTAATAAACATAAATATTTGCGTGTTTGATTATATAAACAAGATATAGCTTAATGATCAGGTTAGTAGGACCGTCGGTCGTACCGCTCTATGCGGTTTTGATGTGGTCTCAATCGCCTGACTGCTCAGAGAATCAAAGGACTTCCTTTAGGCGTTATTTGATTTGTAATCTATATCTTGTTACGTAGGTTATTAAAATACCCTGCTCTGTCGTCCGTCCACCGATGTCTATTCTTTGATTGTTTTCGAAATAAGGTTAATAATATAAGAGGGAATTCAAAAAATCCCCGCTCGAATTGGAGAGCCCATCTGGGGAAGTAACCTTTACCTTTACAGAAGACTACAGTACAATAACTCTACCTATTGTACTTTTGTATTTTTGTCGGTGAGTAAGGGCCCAGGGGTATGGGATTGGGCCAGGGTAGGCAACCCTTTCATAGAGTGGGAGAGTATTTTCACATAAATAAATAAATAAATATTTCCAACACTCTCACCAATTAGCCTAGCCCCAAAGTAAGCACTGTAAGGCTAGTGTTATGGGATGCTAGGGTAACGGATAGAATACATATACCTATACATATATTTATAAAGAAATACATTTTAAACATCCATGACTGGAGTACAAATGCTTCATCACACAAACATCTGCCCCCACCGGGATTCAAACCCGGGACCTCTCGAGTCGGCCACACCATGAAACCCGGCGTACAAACCACTCGGCCACGGAGGTCGTCAGTCGTCACAGAATCTATTATTTGCTTTTTTTTTTAATGAAATAAACTCTATAAAATAATAAAAATACGTGTAGTGATATTTTTTGTATCGACATTGTATAAAGGCTATGGTGGCCGTTTACCATCAGGCGATTATAATAAAACTTAAACTAGATTCTGTGAAAATTATGGTCTCACTCTTATGAAAATTACTTTCCTACTACCAAGAAAAATATTGGAGCAATGTTTATGTAAATGGAACTTCTTTTATCTTTACTTATCAAAATGACTGATACTCTAAGGATTTAAAGAAAACTTGTATCACTTGAGATTGTTTCCAAATTAAATCATGTTAATTGCTTTCACACATACAAAAACATGAAATAAGCCATTTACGCTTTGTCGTAGCAATAGCAATTAATGCAATTAGCCGATGCTTTAAACACGTTTGAAGGAACATCTTCAAAGTAAAGTGAACTTGAAAGGTGGGTTAACTTGAATGCACACAGTAGAAGCATCAATTCAGTAGTCTAAAATAAACATATTATGAATTCCTAAAAGGCTGCATCAAAGAATCCATTTACGAATTCATTTTAGGTATCTTAATTAAAGTTAATGTAAACATTTTAAAGTAAAATATCTTGTACATATTAGTTTAATGCAAAAGACTTAATTATTAGGGTGCGTCAAAACATTTTTTTTGTGTGTAGTGAAACAATGTTGTCCTACAACAATGTAAAAAAAATATTGTTTGTGTGTCTTAAGTATTTTAGTAAGTTTGTTTATAAAAAATAAAAACAGTGATTTTACTTATTGAGTTTGGATATACAGAACTAATAAACATAATTATAGACGCCTACATTTTATGGTAATACTTGTAAGAAAATTTCTTAACAATAACCACACAGGTGATATTTTCGCATTGTTCTCGCATCAAGCTTATACCTTAGCGTACAATAAATAACTTACAAAACAATTGGTTATTCAGCAGGTATATCTAAAATAACTTTTACTTGAAAAAAGAATATATTCAGATCTGGATCTTTAGTATAAAAATGTAGCATATAATGCTTTTATAATAAAAAGTTTTCGTTATATTACGTGACGTTAGTGGTCTATTAAAAAGCATTTTAGGTTTGATCCCCTCGAATAAAAAATAATGGTGTAGACTAAGACATCCGATTTTCGATAATCTTTTACTTGAAGAAAATCTCACGGTTTATTTGTCTACTCTTCTTGGTAAGCTAGAAAAGGCCTACAGTAAAATGGATTATATATCCAATTACATACATTGAATGCTGCTTTATAAAGTGACAAGAAAAATTATATTAATTACTGTCAGGTTGCTTACTGAAAACCTATCCATAATACCTAAATTCAGACAAAATTCTAGATAACTGTCGTCCTACTAGTTTATGCTGTGAAAGGGTCCTGATTAACCCCATATTGTCACTTTTATTTCTTTTTAACACGCTTTTATTAGGTTCACTTGTATGTAACTGTGTAATGGAATCTAAGAATCTGAATGACACAAATTTCTAATACTTGTATTATCTTGAAACTTGGCAATTATATCTAGATGACATGACAATACAATATAATGGTACCATCGAGCTGGTCTGATGATGGAACTGGAAGGTGGCTGATGGAACCCTGGACTGTCCAGTAGTAAACATATCGAGTTTGGGCTCATTAGATTCGCCTAAACATATTCTATTCATTTCTTCTGATGACGAGCACTTGACGATGGACTGGAAGGTGGCTGATGGACCCTGGACTGCCTACTAGTAAACAAATCGAGTTTGGACTCATGAGATTCGTCTTAACATAATTAAACTTTGCAATTATATGTAGATTAGGTGACAATACAATATTACGGTACAACAAATACAAATTCTTTATTTGATACAATAATTTCCGATACAGTATTGCGATTGGGAATTTCTTTTAAGTAAATATATACTTGTATTAGAAATTCCCGCTCTCCGTGCTAAAAGACATGGTACATTGAATTATTGACCACCTTAATATTTTAATAAGAATGATATAAAATCTAAAAACGGTACCATCGAGCTGGCCTGATGATGATGATGATCACTTTTAACGTTTTAACGACTTCTCCTGGAATATGAGCTAAGTATTTTTGAGAATAAAAATCAAATCATATCAATAATTTTGCAAGTACAACATGGTAAATATACTATTACAAGTTTCACATATTTTTATTATCCGCTATATATTACACGGAAATTTCAGACAAGCAGAAGTTCTTTTCACATAAAATTTATATTCATTACAGTAATAATTTCTAAATTATAAAAGCGATATCGGATGAACAATTTATATTTCAAAATTGAGGTAATTATTTATAATTTGATTTAAAAAAATAAGGTAAATGATGCCACTCTTTGTCATGTTAATGTAGAATGAGTTAGATACACATGTGATGTTATCATGTTCTTCCATGCTGGACCAATATCAATTAAAATAATGAAATGTTCCAGTATTATTAAAACTTAGTTCAACTTATTCATAAACACAATAGGTTACCAAATAAATAATTATTAGAGTGAATTTCATCTATAATTTAAGACCACAAACATGGTATCAATGCAATTTAAATCCAAACATTCAATATAGAAGATACGCGCTAATTAGTCTTAAGAGGAAGGCCACAACACCGCATTGTTGCGACGTCGCAATGCAATGCGTTGAGATGACGCAACTCAAAAAAAATCATCACAATGGCCGGCAATGCTCGGATAATTCCGCGATGCATTGTACGACGTTGTAGATTTCTACAATGCGACACCGCAACGCGCAACGGTGATGTGGCCTCACCCTAAGCCAATAGATCAATGTTTAAGTCAATGTTTGTCTTCTAATCAAAAGCTTGTATTTCATACTTTGTGATCAAGTCAAATCAAACGTCGATATAATGACATAGTAAAAGGTATTATACCAAATAATTCTTACTCTCATCGATGTCTGGTGCTCTTTGATCCCATATTTACATACTGCCGAATCCGTAGGCTTAGTTAGAATAAACAAATTAATAGACACTTTGATCCTGTTCGGTTGAAAATACCGGATTGAATAATATAGAGAGACGGGTGAATTAATGTTTGTGACTCGATGGAATAGAGCAAACATTGATTATCACGTACAATTGGTTAGATAATTTAACTGATTAATTATACTGTATTGTTTAGTTTTGAAGGCTTTGCTGTATCCATGATGATTCGAAAAGTGAAGAGAGGTAGAACATAGCGGACTTTTCGCTCAAATTGGAGCGCGTGTCTGGGGAAGTAACCTCAACCTTCAGTAAATTAACAGTATCTTTTCGTGGTGCTGTATTTCAGGCAGTGAGTAAAGTTCCATAGCTCCACAGGGTAGGGAATTAGGTCAGGTAGGCAACTGTGCGAGTGATATTTTTGGTATCGCAAGCGTCTATAGGGTATGGCGGCGGCTTACCATCAGTCGGGCTACATACTTGTTTTTTAAACAGGCGCGCCACGTGTGTGGGAATCCCAGATGCGGAACAGCGCCGGTCCTACCCACTAAATTCCACCGGTACCCTTCTACGCCCTTATGGGAACGTCTCAGGATCGGCGCACCTCTGTGTGCGCTTTTTAAACATAAAAAAGTGAAGCGGTATTAAATTAAAATTCTGGCCTACTAACTATGATTCAAACAACAAAATCATGAGACACTACAAAATTCTTTCACTATCACCACCGCTTAATTTTAATAGTATTTAATTATTAGTTTTAACAAAACATATATAAAGACAGTACGTTTATTTGTAATTAGGTATCTAACTTTATTACTTTCCTTCAAGGAAAAATCATGACAACTAGTAAAAAAACAGCACCCTACTTTCCTACATAATACTATAAATGTGAAAGTTTGCAAGTTTGTTTCTCAATCACACAAAGAATTACTTAACGGATTCGGATGAAACTTAAGCTTATAGATTATGACCTGGACTATGTCTCAAACAAAGTATACTTTTCTCCCGGAAATAAACAAATTGTAGGTTCCTGAAGGATTTTCAATAAAACTAAAGTTAAGTGGACGAAGTCGCGAGCAGCCGCTAATAATTTTATTCTCACTCTATAAGATAGACTTCATGCTAAGTCACGTTCCACTATGAGTAAACTCGAATGGAAAATATTTACGATTCATCAAATATTTATTAGCGCTTTTCAAAAGCTCCTCGCTTGGCATCGTACCAATAAAAATAATGGAAAAGCGACGATATCCAACTGAGAAAAGATTGCGTTCATAACGCTACTGGCTCTACGATTCAACGTGAGAAATGACTGCTAACGTTTGATTTAAACTTCAGTTATTGAAACTGGTTAATGTAGTAAATGTGAGGATGTTTATATTTTTACAAACTTTGAAAATTCGACAGTTACCATTGTGTCGTTGCAACGAATTTCATGAGTTTAACGCCCGGTCAAGATGATGTTGGAAAAATATTTTTTTAGGATTCAAACAAAAAAGGCGAGGAATTAGTAATTCGTTGGAGAAAGTTGATAATGTATATCTATTACCAACGGGCTCTAAACAACATTTCAAGAAGATTTGACGATTAATTTAGAGATTTTGTTTCTTTAGGCGCCTAAACCCACATAACTTTGGTTTGCGCGAAAATAACAATTATGCGTGCTCAATGATTATATGGAGAGGCTTACCCTAGGCGTAGGTTTAAAGTGGACTGTATCTGGGGGGCGGCAATACACAATAAAATATTAATAAAAATACAAAATTTACTGCGCCTTGAAAATGGCTTGTCTATTTAAGGACGAAGAAAATATTTAAAGATCTGGAGACAAAGGCAGGGAACATGCGCAATTACCTCAGCACACCATCCGTTTGGTCGCAAATTGTCCTTCAAGCACTAATATCAATATAAATCGTTGACCGGCACAGATTTTGCATTTATATAAATTTTACAATGTAAAGTGTTCCATATAATTAACGATCGCACAATAATTTTAGGATATTATATAACAACTAGCAAACCAGTGAACCAAATGTTCACCAAAAAAAAAAAGTATTTAATTAATTGAGAACTTCGGAGATTTTGTGTGGTTTCGTTTGAAATAGAAATCACGTGATTTCTCGAAAACCGGAAGTGCTACGTTACTCACATCCGGTTTGTAGTCTTATCAGACTATTCTTAACTTATAACTTAAACATTCTCTATATCTATCTCTTACGGTTTGGCCGCTGAAACAGCACCACGGACGGACGGTCGGACTTGTCTAATAGATAAGAGATATGAGTGTCTTCCATTAGAACGTTTACATCATAGAGAAAAAAGTATAATGTCCGCACTCCGCGGTATCGTCAAAAGCAGGACGGCCATAGCAAAAACTGCATAAGTATGAAAAGGATGGGAGACAGATTGGATTAAGGCAATTGCAAGTGCATAAACTACCCTATAATAAAATTATTAAAAGCCCCCAAAATACGGAATCCAACAGATTCTATTTAATATCTATATTTTTATTGACTGCTGGAATCATTCAATTCAATTTTTGGTGATAATGGCTGAGTCTCATTACGGCTGGAATCATAATCTGAAAGTATTACAGGCAAGTGACAATATCTTACCTGGTGCGAAGCTTTAGAAGAGTATGGAAATAGTAAAATTCATTATGAACAACACTTTGGCGTTGACCATTTTAACAGCTCCACGAAAATTATTAAAAGTTGCAATTTGTCCCTATTGTGAATATCTATTGAGGAGCTAGATGGCACGGGTAGTTAGCGCGTACGGCTGCGATCGTTGAAATTAAGCAACTTTCCCAGTGGTCGGTCATTGGATGGGTGACCAAAAATCTTCTGTTTTGAGTTCGTCCGTGCTTCGTAAGGAACGTTAAGTTGTTGGTGCCGGCTGTATCTGCAGTCGGTAGCACCCGCCAATCCGCACTGGGCCCGCGCGGTGGGTCATGGCCCAAGATTATAAGTTTTTGGTTACCCATACAATGAGCGACCATAGTGAAAGTTGCTTCACTTTCACGATCGCAGACCGAATGCGCTAACCAGCTGCGCCATCAAGCTCCTCCTAGGTCATTGCGACCTTAATATTGAGCAGGCCATATGCTTGTTTGCCACCCCTTTCAACGTGAAAAATAGAATTAATTTATAAAGAGCCAAAAAATTACATAATAAATGTGTCCAGATTATTTCGTGCATTAGCTGTTTAAGCGGTACACCTGATCCTCTTTTTAACCGACTTTATAAAGAAGTAGGTTCGCAATTCGGATGTTTTTTTTATTATGTAAGTACACCGATTATGCCAAGTTTTTTTTATCCAATTTACATCCTTCTTTTTTGTTCGATGCGAAATAATTGCCTTTTAGTTCCATTAAAATTTCATTCGAATTGGCCCAGGCCCCGCCCAATTTCTTAATTATAAAAGAACCACCTGATTTCGTGTGAACCCTCATTTTTTCTTTTAAGTTCCATTTGCGATATTAAAGTCGGTTTTTATTTTGTTTGAAAATATTTTTCACAAATGAAATTATTGATCAACTTAGCGGTTCTGAATAAAATGCAAAATATAGAGGAAAACAGCCCTTTCTAAGTTTGTTATCAGTTCTCCTCAATTTAAGGTCTCTCGTAGAAGATTTATAAAATGATGGCGTAGCTATTTTTCACAAGTATTTGTGGCAACAAAGTAGACTTTGTGGAGGAGTTTTTAAGGATCGATTTTAAATTGAGCTGATAGAAGTTCAATACAGTTTTCCGTCATTTTACGGTAGGCGAGTGATTTTCAGTAGACTGAGAACATGAGTTTTCCGTTTTTATGCAGTTATTTTAATATCACTCGATACACAGCTGTGAATTGCCACGTTGCCTTAGTACTATTTGATTTATTGTTGTCAGTATGAAAGACGGAATCAGAGTTTTCATACATAACAGTTTACGCATAAACGGCATTAAAGAAACATAGGATATAAATAAAGCATAACATAAATGAATTTTCTACAGCCACGACATTTGTCATTGTTTCATTTATATTCTTTGGCGTTTGGTATTATTTGAGTCTAATATTAATAAACAATTTGTTAGTACCAACTTAGGATATTAATACTTTTTATATAGGCTTTTACAACTAATACCACCGTTTTATTTTGTGCCTATACTATCATCATCATCATCAACAGCCTATCCTAGTCCACTGCTGGATATAGGCCTCCAATTGCACCGCCACTCAGATCGATCTTGGGATACTCGCATCCAGCTCCTGTCAGCTTATGAGTATTTTATCGTATAAATAAAATAATTACTTCCATAACATTTGTACGTATTTCTTCCTACAATAGAAGAAACGGCTGTTATATTATTATGTTTGTTGTCAAAATAAAACGAAACATTATCGCATTTATTTTCTAACAAGACTAGACTAGAATAATCTTTTTTGATAACGGTTTTCTAAGAAATTCAACGCTGGAAATAAAGACAACCTGCAATTAGATACCGGAATGAATCAGCAATAAAGTTTCAGGCCTGAGTCATTTTCAAAACCTACCGATATTGCATTTTACAACACCATTCACATTTTTATCTCCACTATGTTAAGATTTTATAAACAAATTGTTCAAATTCCTCTATATTTCGGTATAATGGGAATATTTTTCAGATTATACACTAGAGGTGCAAGTTTGAATCCTGTGTGCTGCTTCGAGTGAATGGAGTTTTCTCTAGTTAAATAAATCTTTTTATCGCTTTCTCTAGTTAAATACAAACTTTTGTAGTTTGAAAAGGTACAAAAGGTACTGCCCACTGAACAATAAGTCACAAACTTCTAAGTTAATCCCATTATTTCTTTCATCCTTTTTTAGACAACAGGAAGAGGTTCGTCTTTGGGGTTTCACGTCTCACAATGAAGACCATTGCATTAGCTAGCAAAGACACTTAATACATACTAAATGATTATGGAGTAAGTGCTGTCCTTGTAATCAAGAATTAAAATAATTAGCAATTTGAAATACCGATAAGCTTTTTTCCATAAGTTAAACAAGCAGTAAATATATTCGATCGACGACCTCTCGAGACTCGAGAGGTCTTGGGTTCGAATCCAGGTGGGGGCAGATGTTTCAGTGATGAATATGAGCATTTGTACTCCAGTCATGGATGTTTAATATGGTTTTCTATATAAATATATATATTTGATTTACCAAGCCAAGCCACATATTTTGACTAAAGTTAAGCCTTGTGGAGATAGGGCGTGTAGAGTTAGAAACTTGGCTCTATATTTGATCTGATCTGATTACTTTTTGACAGTGCGAGTTGCATGGTCTCGTTTTGGCAACATTTTACATGAAAATGTTTCTGGTGTGGGTTGTTGTTATCGAGATATTATGCTGTCCAAAAGCGCGGTACTCGTAATAATAGCCGGAACAAAACATCGGCCTGTAAAAGCTTGTACTCGTAACTAACGAACCTTTCACTGAAAAAAAAACCGGTTGAAATGAAAAATGAAACTGCGGTCAGACGCTTTTTCGAGTAGTTAATAAATATTGAACAACTGTCTTTTGTTTCAGCCATTCCAGTGTACGCGATACTTAGTATCGTACTGAGTTCGGTGGTTGTAGTTTTGGCTGTACTTTCTGTATTCATATACAGGTGAGTATTTTTTTTTGTATTTTATATTCAACAGTCATTTGTACACAGTTTTAAAGTTGAATGGTCACTAATATTATAGTTATTAGCAGTATTGCTAGTTACTATGTTGAATAGAATAGAATGTATTTATCTTAAAAACATGCAATACAAAGTACATGTAGCTTGTTCTTTTTGTCGAAATAACGGGGACTCATACGACAAAATTATCTTAAATAGACAAGTACAGTAAAAATCTGATCTGACAATTAATGTCTAACCGTAATGCCTCAAAGGCCTAGCGTTTAGCATTCACGCTTTAGAAATCAGGCAGAATTGTAAGTACATATGAATAAAATGTTCTTGAAACATATACAAAGTGAATATCACAGCTGATCATTTATAATCTTAACTTAACGGAGCTTTCCAGATCTCTTTAATTTCTAATAAAACGAAATCTTTTCACTTTCCAAATTTGTAGGAACAACAAAAATGAGGTTACTTTAGTTCCAACGAAGTTTATTGCCCACAATAATTACATCAATAAATTTCGTCCATAAAATTTGATTTCGATACTAATAATGTTTCAACAACAGAAAATCGCGAGTAAACATTGTTATTTTTTCCCCATCGAAGCGCGAAACAAGCGAAATTAGTTTCTCTACTTTATTTACGTCCCTTGCTGATGTTTTTGTTTGAATTACGTGTCTCCCCTGATATTGTTTGAGATTACTGTTGAAAAGTTTGGAAAGAATTCTGCGAGCTATATATTCCTATTTTTATTTAGTTTAAATAGGGATGATGACGGAGTAAATTAAAGGAAATTCTATTTAGTCCGGCAGTTATATTATCAAAAAATAATGGTCACGTATTTTTTTTTGTCAATCAAATAAAAAATTATAAAGAAAAAGCTCGTTAGGTCACTTCTAAGTAAAAAATGAATCAAGAAGTGACATCATGCGACATTTCAAATCAATATATTTTTGTATTATTTTGATTACTTACGTGAAAAAAGCAACAAAAACTTACCCAATACTTTCAGATAATCTACCTGAAAGACGAATAAAAATAATTGTCACTATCCCTATTGTTATTGATGTGAAAAAATATTGTGGCGATCGCAAAGAGGCTAATGAGTAGTGATACTAAATTGCAAAAGCTTAAACAATGAGTTTTAAATATTAGTTCTTGTAAGAAGCAATGGAAGCACTGAAGTATGAAGGAATTTTACCTACAGCTGAGGTACACACACAGTAGGATCCACATCGGATCCGCGCGTGAAAATTTTACAGAATAGCATTGAAGGTTTCAGTTTTGTACCTCGAAGGAACACCGCCCGCTTTTTTTATTAATACCGGCCATTAAGGAAGCGGTACGCTCTTTTTTAAATTAAATTACTGCTCCGTGACTTGCACTCAACTTACAGCTGCCATTATTGCTTAGCGAAGACCTGGCTCTATGAGCGACTAAAAGCGACAAGTGCTAAAATGTAAGAAGTACGAAACGAGGCAGTCACAATGACTGATCTGAGATCCTGTCGCTTGAGCAAGTGTTTTGATCAAATAGGCTTTATCAAGCCAAACTGACCGTGTGCGGGGAGACATTTTGGAAGGACATGCCACACGACGAAGGATTTTGGCTGATCAAGCCTATTTAAACAAGTCACTTGATCAGGTGGCATGATCGTGAGTGGCCACCATAAAGCCCAGCTTAGCAGAAAGAGCAGACTGTCGCTACGCTTATCGCCAAACCTAAAGTCGTGACCAGGCAGTTAAATACAAATCGCTATAATCATAAACTATGTTTTTAATTCCTAGGCATTACAAGTTGGAAGCGGAGATCGCAATGATGACGTGGCGAGTCAGTTGGAGCGACGTCTTGCCACCTGGAGGGAGGCTGCGCGGGAGCATGCACTCGCTCGCACGAAGGTACAGCTCAGGGGTGAGTTTACATTGTTAAGAAGAATCTTAATAGGAGAAGATTCCAAAAACCAAGTTCATATTTTAAGAGCCACATCCGAATTCCGAACCTTATAGAAGACAGCAGTAAAATATGTATTTTTATATAGTGTTCTTGCAGTAAGTACGTAAAGTGTCTAGATGTCCACTGGGTGGGCAGTCTCCTAGCTCTCACGTACCACGCACCAACTTCAATTAGACTTACAGTAGAAACGAATTGAAATGTGATTTTCGTATTGTTTTCTTAAACTGATGTTCAATGTCTTGTTGAAAGTTAAGTACAATGTATTTAAGTATTGGAAGTTCCAACATAATATACACATATAGGTATATATTTATATCTCAGTATCGGGTAAGTATTTTGAGGTACAAAGGCCGAATATAAGTAGGTACCTATGTTAAATGTTATAAAAATATTATGACACGTTTCATTATATTTTCTGTTATGAATCATTCAAAAATGCATTCCCTTTAAAAAAAGTTACATCATAACATAAAAAATATTTATGAAAATTTTAAAGTTACTACCTCTTTTCTCATGAACGCGTAGAGGTATTAAATTGAGTTTGTGCGGAATCCTAGGTGCGCGAGTCCGACTCGCACTTGGTCGTTTTTTTAATAATTTTGAATATTCATCCACCTAAGATAGGGTTAGAATTTATTCATAACATAAATTATATTGTTTTAAACTTTCATGGGCACTAACATTATAGTAATATAAGTTATTTACGGGAATGTTAGCATGCATCTTGTTTTTGGCGAGTTTCCGATATTTCGGCACTGTTGCAAGCGCCATTATCACGGAGTAACTGTCAAAGAAACTCGCTAAAAATAAGGTACATGGTAACAATCCCGTAAATAACTTATATTACTATTCTTCATAACATTCTGATTTTTTTGTAAATAATTTATTATAATACTCATTTTCATTGCGAAATTGCTTTCTCTAGAATTTACATAATCAAAGACGTGTTCTCGTATATAGAAGATAGAAGGAAAATCCTTCAATCGCAAAACATCTAAGGTGCAAAATGTAATTTTATTTGAATACATACATACATTAGCTGCTCCTTATTCCATTCGCTCTTTTATTACTTTGAGGCTTTTCTACAGATTTTTACTGAAACGGAGAAAAGCTATGCTCTCAGAGTGAAGTATTTTCTTTGTTTGTTTGTTCCTATACAGATTATATCACATTCATCCATACTTAATATGAATGAATTTGATATAATAATAGTCCGAGAGCCGGCTGTCTATAAGTCTTGGCATGCAAAATTATGACGTCACTTCCCGGTTTTTATTTTAGGTGTAATTGTAATTTATCAAATACATCAAGAAAATGTAGGGACGACAAGCTCTATTTATTCGCTAACCTGAGTCGACCACCATTAGAAATATATTTTCTTAGTCATCGAGCACATAGATTTTTTACGATTTTCTGAAACTAGAACCTCTCATATATGACTGAAAATAAATTTGTTTACATCTTTTATTTGCCCGGATCTGATTGTCGACTTAGTTTGAAGAATCAATGATCTTGATTTTTTAAACTAAGTGATCATTTTTTTTGTAATGTTAGAGTCAAAGAATTAATTGAAAAAAAGGGAGTATTTGAAAAAGATATGCAGATAATTAAATAATTAAACATACAGAGAGATGAAATATATAAGCATAGGCTCTTTAATTATTAAGGCTCTCGAGAGCCGGTTGTATAGGATCTTTTATTCTTATTTTAAGCTTGGTATAGGGCATGCCCGGAAGTAGATCTACCATCCTCCTCATCTTCTCAGAGGCAATCGGACGAGCCACTCTATTTTCGTCTTCAGTGATCTTTTAGCTTCCTCTGAAAACGCAGCTGAGCGTTTTCGCCTCCTAGCGGACTTTCAGGTAGAGTCTGGTTACTGCAAACTCTTCCTTCAGATAATTGCTTGACAGGAGCATTGCCATTTCACTTAGACTTGGCGTCAAAACCAGTCATTCCCATCGCTATCGTTGAAGAACTCGCGTCTGTGAGCAGCCTCTACCGAGTGCTCCAAACGGCGCAAATATTCAGCTCTTAATGAGAGCTACATATTTGTGCCGTTTGCTGTTAAGACTATGGGAACTTAGAACACTTGTTCCTTTTTTAAGGAATTATCTAAGAAACTCACTGAGGTTACTGGTGATTAAAAGGCTGGCAGCTACCTTGGTCAACGGATAAGCCTTGCTATCCAATGACCAAATGCTGCTTACCTATTGGTCGCCATTCCTGACGGTAGCACTGGGAGGTGATATTTTTTTTATTTTGTAAATTTCTATTTATTTAAGTAGATTAGTGTTAAGATTTTTAAGTTTTTAGCCATTAAGTAATAATCAAATAAATATATGAATAAAATTAAGGAAGTATTTTTAATATAGTAATATATTCAATATTTATAAAGTTTTTTTTTTCAGACAGCCTACTCAGATGAAGGAGCTTCTCTTCCCGGCGATCGTCAAGTATTTACAAAAAGAGGTTACTACAAAGGTTGCAAAGTCGCCATCAAAGTGGTCGAGAAGCAGCGCATAGACTTAACCAGACCGCTATTGTTAGAACTTAAAAAGATGAAAGACTTAGAGCACGACCATCTGGCCAGGTTCTATGGGGCTTGTGTAGATCCACCTCATTGCTGCCTCCTGACAGAGTATTGCCCAAAAGGATCACTGCAAGATATTCTCGAAAATGAAACGATCAAACTGGATTGGATGTTCAAAGTCAGCTTGATGCACGACATCGTTAGGGTGAGTATGTATTTTATAATAAAGATAAAAAAGATTTCAATTAAAGTGTTTCTGAACATTTTAAATTGACATAAAAAATAAATATGTTTTAAATTATTTTACCATAAAAAATTATCAAATCATCTTTTCTAAACATTTCGGAAGCAATACGCCTTAACAACGATAAAAACTTATTGGAATATTATGGAATTGAAAGTTAAATATTACTGACCCTGTTAATAAAAATAATTCTTAACAACGATAAAAACTTATTGGAATATTATGGAATTGAAAGTGAAATATTACTGACCCTGTTAATAAAAATAATTCTAACGGCAATATTCGAAGACGAAAGAGGAAGCACGAAATTATTCTTTTTGATATCCTTATAACAGGATATAATTTTATGGAGCTTACCGTGTCCTAATGCTCCTACGCAAATGTAACCACAAACAAATTTGACATTTTATACTATACCTACGACAAAATGTCACCTAAAGTCCGTTATACTCTATAAACGACTAAAAAAATACGCATCAAATTTTAAAGATAAAGATGTATGTAATTTTCCTTTTCTTTATGATTTCTTATATTCATAAAATTATGACAGAAACATTGGTGTTGTTCTAACAACCAAATTATTAATGCAACTAGAAAAGCAACAACCTACCTACCTGTTATTTTCTTTCTTTGGCGTAAATACGATAAAAGCCCGTAAACTTCAAACTAATATGATTTTTGTGTCTCGAAAAACCACTGAATCAGCTTCATAATCAGACCAATGAACAGTAAATAACAGGATTACGTTACTATTGTACTTGAGCTGCTTAGCGACACGCACAATCGGTCTCTTTGAAGTAGGATTTCTTCGTTGACACTTCTCTACGACAAGAAGATGTAACATTATTAAGGTTTGATAGACAGATACACAAGGTACACCTGTTCTATTATTATTAAAAAAAATGTGATGCTTCATTTTTACCTTTCGGTAAATTGCTCAATATAATCTTTCAATTTAAATTAGTTAACCTCTTCCAAAATTTAGAGGAAAATTCGAAAGGTTTTGTATAAATCAGGAAGTCAGTATTAAAAAATACAAATCAACTATTAAAAATACAGAGTAGAACAGTGATAAGCATGACAAACTTTATGAAATATTTTATGCCATGGGCAAATATGAAATGAAATGAAAATAAACCTGTATCAAGTTGGCTAATTAAAAGGCAAATGGCAAAAATATTAACTATCGACGTTAATAACACAGGCCCTGCCAGAATACCAGCGCTGTTATTGTAGGAATGTTTCCTTCCTACTGTAACAGCATTAAGTTGAGGCGGGGTCATAATTAGCCATTCTTCTTTCTAAATTTTGTTGTTCCTCGTTTTGATATTTTTATTTTTGACGTGACAACGTCTTAAATTAGGTTGCGGCTGGGAGTCACTTATGAAAAAGTGTAACGCTCGGTAACGTTACGATGAGTCTCTCGTGTTAAGTTTAAGTTTACATGTACAATGTTTTAGTAAACAAAATATATTTCTATAGTTAAAATTTGTGCAATTCTTATTTTCATTCAATTCCTTGTTCCTATTGTGCAATTTAATTATATTCATATCAATAAATATTCTACCGAGAAAAAGACGTTGTCACGTAAAATCTTCGCCCGTAAAACCGACTTTACAGGCAACCATTTTTTTATCGTTATAATAATTGTTTTTTTTTTTATATGTGTGAGTAACAGATAAAAGGCTTTTTCTTTCAAAAAAAAAGTTGTCCTACATGAGTCTGTCAATAGGGAAAGTTTATTCTCCAGCAATGGGGATATGCAGAAAGCTGATGGTAGTAAAAAAAAAATAAGATTTTAGTAGAGAAATGTTGTAGTGAGTTTTTTTCCTTGCATTTTTGTAAGCCTTATTTAAAAGTCTTATCGACAGTAAACTCGAGTACTAAAGTTTTTATTAACATCCCGTCATGTTACGTCCTTATTAAAAGTTGTTGCTTATAATTGAGGTTCTTTTGTCTAAGATACTTTGTAGAATTTACTGTAACATTTAAAGCTCGGCATTTTATTATATTGGTACCTAGTTACTATATATTTATCCTAAGTAGCGCTAAGCTATAATAAGCTATGTCTCATCTCGTTCAACTTAAATTTAATTAAAAGCGCCTATAAGTGAGCAGTTATTTACACCTTATTGTACTACAACTTTGTTTTTTTTTCCACAACATGCCAGTTTAATAACAACCCAAAGCCGAATGCCATCGATTAACTTACTTTATTAAATACAAAACTTTGTCGTGCAGGGAATGCATTATCTCCACGGTACCGATACCAAATCTCATGGCGCTCTGAAATCAACAAATTGTGTCGTCGATTCAAGATTCGTCTTGAAGATCACCGATTTTGGACTCCATGCTTTAAGAACTTTCGAAAAAGACACCAGGGCTCACAGCTATTGGACGCGTGAGTGAAATTTTATTTTCTATTACTCCAAACGAAATGAATTTTTATATACAAATTTTAAGAATCGATTTAATATAATTTCAATATAACTTATCCCGATGTAGATGACTCAAATGCAAGAGTGACAATCCAAGAGGGCATCGTGACGTGATCGTGTTCGATCAATAGAAATGAAATCCTAACCAACTCCTGAACTCAATATGGCAGATGCCTTTGTCACATATACCGACAACATACCGAGGGATGGATATTAAAAGAGTTTCCTTTACCAAAGAATGGAACATGCTAATATTAAATTGAACCTAGAGCTTATTATATTATATTACACATTCAATGCTGTGTAATTCGAATAAAATTAACTTTGGCGTTATTAAAGTTTCACTGTGAGATTAAGATTAAATCAAATAACTTTAATATGGTATCCCATGTCGCCTCATGTTTAATCATCTACAATTATTACAGTCACGTTGAGCAAGATAGCGTCTAATTTTTATCTTAACTACATAGTTTATTTTAATAAAACCCAAAACGTTATTTATTAGGTTTGCTATGGACCTCTCCCGAGCTTCTTCGGATGCACGAACCACCCCCAGAAGGGACTCAGAAAGGAGACGTGTATTCATTCGGGATTATCATGCACGAGATCGTACACAGACAGGGAGTGTTTTGGCTGGGATCGGGCGTTGAAATGCCACCCAAAGGTAAGACTTGGAACAGTTATATTAATTTGCACCTTATAAATATTTCACTAACCTTATAGCTACTACAGAGTCAGATTCTGATATTTACCTCTAGCGAATTCTGGTGCACAATATTAAAATGACACATTAAAATAATGTGAAAGTCTTACGTATTGATTTTAATTTTATGGAGATGAAGCGTCATTGTATCGCAACTTTGACAATAATCTGGTAATCCTAAAGTACTAGTTTGAAATGCATAAATGTTTCTAAAATGATAACTATAATCACTACAACGAATTATATATAATCTTCGAGACGTGCTTACAAGACTTCTACTGTTTTCCTACCTTTCAGATATCTAAAGTTCCTCCAAGTTTCAAAGAGGTTTTATTTAAATTCATCTCTATGTAACGCAGGAAGCAATTAAACCAAGTTTTCATTTTAGCAACAAAACTTTGTCTACTTAAATATAACATTCATTCCGTGAAATCTTCTCAAAGTTTGAATGATTGTTAATTGAATATGTAGTTATATAGTTTTATTAACGCGTAGTTATATATTTTAAATATTATTTACCTATATGCTGGTCGTAAGTCTCTTACATTAATATCTAATGTTTATTTAATATATATATATATATATATATATGTATATGTATATATATATTACTATAGCAATTGAAATAGAGTGGTTAGATATCACATACACGTACATAACTGATTTGCTTATTAATCATAGATAAACATACTGTTTGGAACTAGGTACCTAGTGATTTTATTATTTGTATAATAAATTACGATACGTATATATGTATGCAAACAATGAATTTATTCATTGTTTGCCATCCATACAAATTGGATTGAACAGATTTGATTAGTAGATAATTAACTTATTGACGGGATTGCAACCATATACCTAGATTTTGCAAGTCCTCGATATTTAGGTATGGTAACAATCGCGTTAAAAAAAAATAAGTATAATGTTAGTGACCATGAAAGTTCAAAACAGGTTTGAATTTTTGGTACAGAAATTATTGAGACGGTTATTGGAAGTGGTTTGAGACCAAACACGGGACAACACCGGTCCCTCGAGACGGAAGACGCTACGGAGCTCATGCGACGCTGTTGGTCTGAAGACCCCACCGAGAGGCCAGACTTTGCCCACCTAAAAGGAGCGATAAGAAGACTAAATAAGTAAGTTGCGATTTAAGTTCATATTTGTTAACAAGGAAGTTATAAAGTGGAATAATATTAATAATAAATAATACAAAACACCGTGTACGAGTCATATTGAAGTATTTTAAGGATATAAATTAAATACCTTTTTTCGAATTCCCTTTTTGAAATCTCATATGGCTTATGCAATAATACTTCTCTATAGCTCTGACTAATTTCTTTCTTCAAAACGTTTGAAATTAGTTGGACGAGTTTCTGCTAAGATACAAAGGTACATAGTTTATTAATCTGTCACTCAAAATAGGAAATGTTTTGCCTTTTGGTACAGGTACTTTTACTTGTGATAATAAGTTAAAATCTAGTGCTAAAAATAAGTCACTCCCGGATCAACCGGAAACTTTGTAACTCAGACTATTTGAATAATTTTGTAATTTTACTCACAAACATTTTAATGAAACTATTTACCAAGTATTAATGGTCTTGGGCCTCCAAACGAACAGCAATTTTAACATTTCTTCCAAATATTCCGTGTTTACTTTTAACGTTTGCATTATGTACTTCGTTTTCGTGAACATTATAGGTAAACAAACCTTAGGTTCGGGCATTCCAGAGCAAGGCTCTATTCATTTAGACTTGAATTCCTTTGTATTTGGGGAATATTTATTGCTCGAGTTCCGTTCCTTACTGTTGTTAACTTCTCTAAAATTTATAGTGTATGTCGTTTCAGGAACAAAACACTGTACATAATTATGATTCCAACATGGATTTCAGAATCCTTGCGTACATGAAAAATTGCTGCTTTTACTTATCGACTGTTTTAGTAGAAATTATTAAAATATCAACACTATTAGAAGCATTAGAAATTTAATGCTATAAACATATATCCATAATGTAATATTACTTCATAGGGGTCAAGAGAGCAGTAACATACTGGACAATCTGCTATCACGTATGGAACAATATGCAAACAACTTAGAACTATTGGTGGAAGACAGAACAAAAGACTATTTGGAAGAAAAGAAGAAATGTGAAGAGCTGCTGTATCAATTACTGCCAAAGTAAGTGCTGATAAAAAACTATTAGGTAAAACACGGATAAAAATATAAAAACAGATAGTGTTTAGACATGTTTTAATTGCAATGTTATTTTAAACTTCTGTGCGTTCTAGTTCAATTCGTATTCTTTGTTTAATCAGAAATTAGACCGTAACTGCTTAATTTATCATTCTTATCATTCGTTTTTCCATCAGGTCTGTCGCCTCGCAACTCATCAACGGCCAGTCCGTAGTAGCAGAGACCTTCGAACAAGTCACAATTTATTTCTCTGACATTGTCGGCTTTACGGCTCTCTCGGCGTCGTCCACCCCGATGCAAGTCGTTGATCTTCTCAACGATCTGTATACTTGTTTCGATTCTATCGTAGAGAACTATGACGTCTACAAGGTAAATTAATTCGCTTATATTTTCATTGAAACATTATTATTTTACCGTTATATTATACATTTTATTATTACTCATTCAATTTTATATAAAAGCTTAGTTTATTTATTTTCACAATATACCATTTAGATGCACGCGCAGATAATTTAATCTTCAATATCAGGAGAACGCTTCAAACACTTTATATTTTAGCATATCCAAGTATGGGACACGATATAAGTGTGCGGTATCTGTTATACCCACGTATAAGATTTTATTTTATTAACCTCTTTATCTTACCTCTATATTGAACCAATTTTGTTTTATTAGGTGGAAACCATCGGTGACGCGTACATGGTGGTATCTGGTTTGCCGGAACGCAATGGCACCAGGCACGCTTGTGAAGTGGCTCGGATGGCTCTTGCTTTATTGGATGCTGTCAAGAGGTTCCGAATCAGGCACAGGCCTCACGATCAACTCAAGCTGAGAATCGGGTTGCATTCGGGTAAGTCTAAATGTTTATTTAGAATAAAACAGTCACTCCTGCTGTCTGTATGCCTAGATCTTTTAAACTACACAACCGATTTTAGTATAGTTTTCAGCAATAGATGGAGTGATTGAAAGGTTGGCTTAAAGTGTAAATACACTGCTTTACATTAGTATCTACATTGTGTTGATAATAAAATATGTTTTATTTTATATTGCTATTTCGAATAAATCAAAAATTTCCAAAACCTCATTTTGATAAGAGCTAAAAATCTGTTTCCAGTCCATTTTAAAGTCATATTACCTTTTTATATTGTGTATTTTATGTGGATTAATTAATTTTGTCTCATTTATTACAAATTTAAATAAAATAAAAATAAATAAGTACCAAATCAACTTCAAGATAAATGTCTGTGCTCTATACGTCACTTATCCAACAAAGTTGTTTATCTTAAAGAAACCAGGAAAGCTGTTAAAGTTTTTGTTTTGTCTGAATACCTAATCATAACTTTGTTTCCTACACATCAATTTTATTTCACGGTAGACTGAATGTTAATATTTTTCCGTATATGAATAGTTCTTGTCACTGACTAACAAACACAATATTTTTAACGATGCAATGGAGTACTTACCTAATTAGAATTAGTCGCAAATTGGTGAAAAAAGATTTGGTAGATTTACAAAAATAAAATTAATGATTATGGTTTGTTTTGGAAATTTGTTGTTACATAAAAGTCAATTAAAGTCGTCAATACTTTATAGGGCCTCGTTCTTTGCCTCACACTAATCCATACACGACCGCGCGTCACCCCAAACATCGGATAATATATGAGTTTTTCGATAGAAAGTATGAACAGATTAAAATCGACCAAACTATATTTGGCTGCAAATCGGATATTTCGCAGTAAAAGGATGCAATAAATTATCTTTTTAACGTGGTCTATTGACCAAATATGTCATAAAAAGTATAATCAGCACATTTAACTTAATATGGGGTATGAAAAGGAGAGCTTCCATTTTTATTTCCGTTTGTAAAAATTTCCGTTTCACGTTAAATAAAATATGGGAAATGCCGAAATAGGACTTTATCAATTATAACTTGGAAGAGACAATTTCTCTTCATGATTGATATAAGGTGATGGCAGCGATAATGATCTGAAAAAGGGTTTTTAACTTTTGTGTATCTTAAGAGGTGAAAAGAAACTCTTATAGGACCACTTGTCTGCCTAGATTCTGAAAGAAGATGTCTACTACCCTTTTACTTAAAAGCACATTAAGGTATATATAAATAATATTCAAATCAGCAATCCATTAAATCTGTAGCAGAATTAAACTTCTAAATCAACGCAATCAAATCAAAGCGGCCTTTTATGCCGCATGTTAGAACAATTTTGAAACTTTTAAAGAAACCAAACCTTTAATTTGGTACATTTACCTAGAAATACAAAATTTAATAAGAATTTCTTACTACATTAGTTAACAGAAAAATGCATAATCTATAAATTTGTATAATCATCACAATATTTTTTGGAGTATATACGTAAATGGACTATTTACGTACCTACAATTTATTACAGAACCCTTAGTGCGCGAAACGATAAATATTTATATAACGCACTATGAGGATTTTGAATGGAATTATTCCTCAAAAACATGACTAACAACTTAAGTACCCGCTTACGTTGAAAAGCAAAACGATAAACCAAAATTTGCTAACTATTTGGAATACTTCCAATCGTGACAAGATCAAATATCTTGTTTCAGGATTCATCAAAAGTCGCTACAGGAAAATCACATCAAAGACTTGTCATTCTCACAACTTTTCATTGCGTTTCGAAATACGATTGGCAGCGGCAATTTGGATGTATCTACTAATGTATATTAAGTTCTTGAAGTTAATAAATCAAAAGTATAAATATGGAATAATATATATCAGCATCATCAAAGTTTTTTATTTTCCTTTACCTTAAGGTACGATCCTTCCTTTGTGTAGTATCTACTTCAAGGCAATAAAGGATTTTTTCTTTTGATACGATTCATTTCTATTAGTTTAATAGTCAAGTGAAGCATTCAAATCATACCAAATTACTCTAACAGAAGCTAAACTCAGAAATAATATTAACATTTTATAGTATGGAAAGTTTTCATACTTAACTACGAAATATGTTGATTACTAAACAATTAACAATAAAGTAACCTGAAATAATGATTTTATCAGAGATAATGAAAATGAATTTCTTTGTATAAACAATTATAATACAAACAAAAATGAAAAAGAGTACTAATGCAAAAGTATGCGCGGATGATCACAAGTTGCATGTTGATGACAATTTTTCATAATAGTGACAAAAAATGTAGTCTAATAAATATAATGAACTTATGTCTTTAACTATGAATTAGGGTAAATATATTTCGGAGTTCCATTATCAACAACGCATTACTTTATATTGGATTATTCTCAGTAGGTTTGATTGCAAAAGACCGGACAACAAAGGTCACGAATGGTTCCGTGCTATAGCATACATTTTGGAATACAGCGCCAGCAATCCTTAGTTCCTTCAATATTAATTTTCTTGTATACCGCCTTTTTTACTAAATTGTATGTTATTTTTATCTAAAGAATTTAACTGCTAGATGTTTAAATCTAAAGAAAAGTTTACTAGAAAAAAATCCAAGTGGACTAGGCCGCAGACGGGACTCGCAATGCGAGGAGATGTCGCTGCCTTGCAGCCTAAGGCTAGATAACATTCGACAAGGTCGTCAGGGCCACGATAGCATAATGGTCAGTGCATTCCCCAGGTTAATGAAGGGTGCGGGGTCGAGTCTCGTCTACTGCCTGGTCCGCATGTAATTTATTCTAGTAAACTTTTCTTTAGATTCAATAAAATTTCTGAGATTAGCTTCTGTTACAGTAATTTGATATGATTTCAATGCTTCACTTGACTATTAAACTACTAAAATTCTTTTCAAAACATTTGTTAAAAAAATCATTTACGTAGGTTACATACATTGTTCGAAAATTCAAAATTCCGCACAATACAACATAGCGTGCGGTAAAACTTTACCACACGCTTCGGTATATGCACCGTGCATATCCTAAACTGTTTTTTTAATTTAGATCGAACCTCCTTGGAAGCGCTATTGATCTATACGTTTGACTCACCTTAATACTAAAGAAAGAAAAAAAGGCAGAAAGATGTAGTTCTAATTTTTACCACTAGCACGTGCCACCACGTGGAAATGCGCGCCATTTTCGTCTTAGAAAGAGTTTGCTTCATGACTTAAAACTTATACTGTTTTCTCGCAAATGCATTGAAAAACGTTGTATGATATTCCTGCTGTCAACTACCACTGTTATCATAAATAAGTATTATTGCCTTGAAGTAGGTATATAAATAAAGGATAGTCCCTTAAGGTAAAGGGAAAGCAAAAGTTACATATTTGTTCAAGTTTCATATATATACATCGATTTTCAAAGAATCGCTTTTTTTAGAGAAATATGTATGTGTGTATTGTACGCGGGGCTCCTCGTTCCCCCAAATCCCAAGCCTTACATAGTTTACTTTGGTGCTAGGCGGATTGGTGTGTGATTTAGTTTATTCATAATGAGTTAAATATTGTTGCCCATTAGGTCCTTGCGTGGCTGGTGTGGTTGGCCTCAAAATGCCCCGCTACTGTCTATTCGGGGACACGGTGAATACAGCCTCCAGAATGGAGTCGAACGGAGAAGCCCTCAAGATTCACGTTTCTCCTGACACAAAGGCTCTTCTGGACTCATTCGAAACTTTCATTTTGGAATGCAGAGGAGAGGTTCCGATGAAGGTATAGTATTATTTATTCATATAAATGAATACTATCAATATAAATTTATAAAAATTTAAAACTAGCATTACAGGTTTACCATTTAACCATTACCATTTAACCTTTACCATTCAACTACTCAATGCTATAATGACAACAATTTGAAAAGACAATAATACTTTCACATATTTAAAGAAATTGTTTGAAACTAATTATCAACGTAAGCTTTGTGAATTCGCTCATTACCATTTTATTGTTTACATTTTTATGCGAATATCGTTGGCTGTCTACGATTGTGAATATTAATCAACTTTGGCTATGACCGGAAATCAGAAGGATCTCCAAAATTTTGTTATCTCTAGCTTCTCAATGTTTTGGAAGACATTAGAACCGGCTGCATCAGTCGACCGCTTAATTCATGAGTCCTCGTGATGGATTATGAGCCCTTTGGTTTTATCCACATGTCACAACATAAGTCTTTCAATGTGCACATTGAAAGACTTATGTTGATACATTGTATTTACAATGGAATAAGTTTGCCAGTTATAAACGTTAACCACATAAAGGTACTTATATATCAAAAGATGCAATTCGATCAATTCTCTTTTAAAATTATTTTGATGCGTTTTCCGTGTATTTATGAAGATAAATTCAGTTGTTTAGCATTTAAATATACTATACTAATAGCAAATTGGTCGAGAAGGTCCTTTTTTAATATATCAACATAACATATTATAGACCCAAGATAAAATATCGTAAATTATCTTTGAGATGAGATTTAAATGAGTTCGTAATCCTGATGCCGATTCCATAAGAGAATAATTTGGTACACATTTGGTCAAAATTCACTTTTGATCTTCCGAGTCTTATTTTCTATTGTCATAGGACTGCCTACATTAAAATTCCCCTTGCGTATGTAAGAGCAAACTACAAAATATTATCGGCTCCATTAACAGCCTTATACCAAAGCAGTAACAACCATTTCGGCTTAGCGCTTGGCAAACTATTTTACATTTTACGCTGTTCACCATTATTTACAAAGCGGCGTCACAACGTCACCTTTAACTTGAAAAATGGTAAAAGAATAATTTAATGGAATAAACCCTTCCTTTTAAGTGGCATTTCTTTAAAATTGTTACAGGGCAAAGGAATTCTAGTCACATACTGGTTGTTAGGAGAAAAAGTAGATCCAAATGCACCGAAAGAAAAAAATGCATTAATAAAAGCACAAACGCAATCGAATGAGAGTGGCTCACTATCACATCTCACGCCGTTCAGAAATCGGAAAGATCAAAGCTCTAGATCATCTAGCAGAAGAGGATCAGATGCTCTAGCACAAAAAGGGAATGATTTGATCAAACTAGAAAAGGACGCACAACCACTTTTGCAGAATCTTAAAATTCAAAGGCAACATTCTGACCCAACGGAGCCAGTTATAAATGGCGTCAATGACAACAGTGAAGATTTAGATAAAGTAAATCTATCTAATTCTATAGCGCTGAACGTGAACTCTCTTAGTCATGGACAGCCTAGAGTGAAACTAAAGGATTGCCAAATGAACACCATCGGCAATCATAAATCAAATAAAATAGGCAATAACAACTGGATAGCTAAAATGCCCACAGCGAGTTCTTTCGATAACGGCTGTAAGAAAAACAACGAGCATTTGAAAGACTACAGTAGTGTACCACTACTATCTAAATCAGAGACATTGAATGACTCCATAGTGTAAGGTTTGTAATCACTGTTATTGGCACCAATTATATAAAAATATTTCCGTTTACAGCCTACAGAGGTACGTAATGTTTGGCAAAAAAAAATGTACATTTTGTCAACATTAAAACTAAAATAAAATATAATTCCATTTCTTTGGTCATACACGAATTCCATTCTAAGTCTTAGTAGTATTTTCAAGTAAGACTCAATTTATCAAAACACTGAAACATGAGAGAAAAAAATATTTATACACTTACTTTAAATAATTTATTAATATTAGATGTCTTTGAGTCGAAACAAGAATGCACGTAATCGCAAATGTAAATTAGGCTCATGTAAATGTCATTATGGTGACTCTCACACTATATCAGCTATCTTGTTGATCAAAAATATGCATATGTAAAAAAAAATACATAGAATTTTATAATGATTCTCCGGATAGCTGATTACAAGAGTGTACACTTGTAAATATTCGATTTCATGTCTGCTTGTAGGTGTTAGGGGTAAACAACTAAATGTCAGGTAAATATGAAGAAAGAATATAAAATTCCATTGTATTACAGATAGGAAGATATCCAATTTTAATAAACTGTTAATGTTAAAGTTAATGAAATTGTGTCTCTAACTGAGTGTGATGTTTTGATTTAGTAAATTGTTTACATTCCTGAATAAATCTTGAATATGAATATTTCTGACCATGAAAGTGATTGATTTAAAAAAAAATCGTGGAAATCAGTATATCATGTAGAAATACAAATTATAAATGAGACATTTTGCCAAACAATGCTTACGGCAATCGTCATTTATCACTTCGATAATTGTATACTTAAAAGGTAACTAAATAGTAGGGGCGATAATTTCAAAACTATTGTTTACTACTACCAATTTATTAATAATGATTAATATATTGGTTTATTTAGATTATCATACCTATTGTGTAATTGAATCGTGCAATGTAGCTTAAACCTCATCAATAATGACAAATTGAGTAAAACAGTAGTTATTTAAAATAAACTAAATGTTTATAGTAAATGTTTCATTTTGTTGAGTTCTTAAAAATTACCGATTTCATCTTTTCGTACACTGCACATTTGCTAAGAGTACTGAAATTCGAGTATTGTATCTAGTTTTACTAATCGCCTTTGTTTCGATGCTATTTGAAATAGTGCCATGAGTGGGAAGTATAGACTCAATCGAGTTGCGTATCGAGTAAAAAGTGACATTGTGAGAAGTGTTAAGGGAATGTCTAAACCAACTGTTTGCTGATTACATCCTTTGATCATGGTGCTCGCAACATTTTCGATATAGAAGACTTCATGGCACTAAAAGCAATTTCAAAATCAATTACACTCATGTTTTATTTAGGTTTTTAGTTTGTGCATTCGCGTTCAATTGTGAGCTTCTTCATAGCTAGTTCATATAAAGTCTAATGCATTTTAAAATTAACTTTTTTTATGAAAAAATAAATGTATGTAATTGCATTAAACCCACTTTCATAAAGAAATTCGCGTCTATAATGTGCCGAATAACACTTTAATGTACTTAAATGTTAGATGTAATAAATTTTGTATTGAGAATCAAAAATAATCGCTAAAAAACTAAATTATATTATTTTTTATTTTAAATATACTTGCAGAACCGATTTGAAATTTAAAATATTAATGTCAAATATTAAATAACATTTTTATATCCATTTTTATATTCAGTAAATTAACACACTCGAAGAAGCCTATAACTTTGTACTTGAAGGTGAAAATAGATTTAATATGATTTTTATTGCTTTTTGTAATCACCTCAAAATGATACATCACCAACTTTTTCAGTCGAACTTATGCACCGCCTGTCCGCAAGTGACAACACACACAAACTTTGACAACCGAATCTACCTTTATCGTATCCCTTTTTGTGGTAACATTAGGAGGACCAACAAGTTAATCTTGGAGCGTAACAATATTTACCACATGAGTTAACTAGGAACAAAGGCAAAGCTTCATGAAGTGCGTGTGTGTAAGTGAGCATTGGCGATCTGTCACCGCCAATAGAAATGTTTCACTTTCACAACCCAACACGCGCGCCCGCGCAACAGGCTATTTGATTTTTTTTAAAAGGTTAATACGTTACTGCGTGCAGTGTCTCCATAAATAAAGGATTTATATTTCTGTTATTTTTTCAAATACGCCGCATTAACGTTTCTTTAGCAAATATGGTGACTTCAGTCTAAAGTCACATGGATCTCGTCAAAACGTCAAACAGTGTAAAGTTATTTCATTTCGTTGGGATTTTTACAAGCAGACGACGTCATTTTAGGCTCCACGTGCAAATTGATCATAAATACTTTTCTATTTCATGACTTTTAGTAATATTATCAACTACATTTTTGTCAGAATATTGAAATCGCTCCTAATATTTATGTTAAATACACATTCCAACAATTGGTACTTTATTTTTTTATACTGACAAATAGTCAATTTTCTGAAGCTTTGTCTCTGTGCCTTCATTACTCGTGTGATAATTCTGTTGGACTGTGTCTACTCTGAACTGTCGCTAATGAAGTTTCGCTGATGTTGAAACTACCATTTTTCGTACTTTGAAAGTTTTACTAAAGAATATCACTTTCACAAAAAACGCTTCAAAACTTCAACTGGCAGAAATTTTCAACATTATCCAAAATTTAGTTTACCGAAATTCAATGTAAGTCCTAAAGGTATCTTGGGATATAAGTGCGGTATCCATTAAAATGTTGTTTCTTTTTTATATTGAATGTAGATTTATTTGTTTATATACTCTACTCGTGTTTTAACTAACCATTTATTTTTGATCTTCAGTATAAATTATAATTTATTCTTCAGTGATGAGACTAGGTTGTAAATATAGTTTGTTTATTCACATTTATTGTAAATAATTTAATGTAACGTTGTTGTGATCTTAGCTAAAGGTATTCTGAAATCTGTATTTATAATTTACGTAGACGTTTATGAAGTAATTTAAATGTTTTAAAGACGTTATAATAAATATAATGAGTGAGAATTCTGTACTGCGTTTAATTGGTTTTCATAATTATTTTCTAAATAATTTGCTTAAAACTAAAGAAAAGTTTACTAGAAAAAAAACCAGGCGAACCAGGCAGCAGACGGAACTCGAACCCGCACCCTTCGCTATCCGTGTATTTTTTTTTCTAGCCTTAGAATACTCTTACAAGTATTAAACATTTGATAGAAGAAATAGCAATTTCTTCTAGTAAACTTTTGTTCAGATTTAAACATCTCGCAGTTAAAAAAATACATAATAATTTGCTTTTAATTATGTACTTAATTTTAATAAAGTAAGTATCAAGTAAAGAAAGCTAAAGGAAGATCTTTCGAAACTATAGAACCATGCAACAACTACCTGCAGCTACGACATAAATATGAATTAATTTCAAAAAGAACAAAATGCACTCCCGGCCTGATTCCTTATTTTTTAAGACGAAGGTCCTATAAAAGAAAAGGTATGAAGAAACAATAATGGTCCCACATTTTTTTATGTTATAAGGGTGGCTAACAAGCGTATGGAATGGTAAATTGGTAAGCGGCCACCATAGCTTATAGGCGCTTGCGATAGGAGAAAAAAGCTTATAATGAAATAAAATGTTCCTTTCAAACTTTTACTATAAACTTAAGACATCATTACACAATTAACAAAATATAAAATCTTGTCGCCACAACATATTTACTTATATTACAACAAGCTAGCCGAAAAACTGCAGACTTTAGAAATGCGCAGGAACTTTTTTTGCCTATGCGTATTGCCTGAGATTACCCATATTATCTGGAAACACTGAGTTCGTTTCCAAAGACCCTTTATTCCACGGACAGTAAAATTAGTTCTCTCTTAATAACTTCTCGGTGTTACCTCAGTACCATATGAATCCACCTAAGCTCTAAATATTTCTGAACGAACAAACATTTGCTCGCTCGGTGGAAACATCAGAGGGAGCGAACGAGTTCGAACAACGATGTTGGACAAGACTCAGGGAACAAATGATCTCTTGCTCAGTCATCAATGAAAAGAACGCAATATTGTTTCGAGTCATCCATTTACCTAGCGAACAAATGTTTGCTCGCTGGGAACTGTTCTAAGCACTAAGTTCAATATAGTTCAAATAAACCTACCAGTTATCTTTGACACCTTTGATAATCTTGCTTAATATGCATAAGTGTTATTCTAATAAATATATTGTACTCTAAGACCGCCACTCTTATTTAAAAATATTGTAATACATTTTTGGAGGATATTAAGCTATTTTTTACTAAATATCGATCAGTGAAATTCTATTGGTGAAAGAAGTAAGAAATTTACTGAAACTAAAACATTTTTAAAGAGTAAGTATAATATAATGGAGTTTATTTATTTTTAAAGAAATGAGTATTTTGCCCTATTCTTGTAAGAATCAATTTTCCTTGGTATTCATCTAAAGAATTGTTTAGACAAGAATCATCATTATTTTAAATAAAGCTATCTTGATTTCAAATTAAAGCAGAATAAACGTTAATTTTATCACATCTAAGATTTCTTCACGAATTTAATATCCATTTAAATTGCAAGATAACGTAGCATTCCCGAGAGTAATGAGACATGAATATCATTCGTATTGTTATCATTTTCCTCATTAACGTTTGAGCGAGCTACCGCTACCTCTGAAATAGGAGTAAACATGTTTCCTTTCCTATTAAAAGTAATGAATTCATTGTGCTTCTTCATTTTAAACGTTCATTCGTTATTTAACTCACGTTATACAGTATACGTTACAGTCACTATAAATGTACAACATTAATAATTAATACTCCGTGCTTCGGAAGGCATGTTGAGCCGTTGGTCCCGGCTGCATCTGCGGTCGTTAGCACCCACCAATCCGCACTGGGCCCGCGTGGTAGCATAGCCCAATCTCCCTATTCCATCCATAGGGAAAGCCTGTGCCCCAGCAGTGGGGACATTAACAGGCTGATGATGATGATGATGATGAATAATTATTACAGTATTTTTACGCCATTCAAAAGAAAGGGTTTGGATTTTAATCTTAACAGGGGAACCTCATTATACTTATGGGTTTCACAGACTGGCCCGAAACCGTGGCTGAGTTGATCTCTCTATAAATCATGCGGTATAAAAACTGAAAAATAAAAATATAATAAAAACCGTTAAAAACTTTTTGGAACGTAAATCTTATATTATACACATAAAGCCCGAATAATTTTATACCTACCACAAAGTATGTAGGAAACTATACGCCTAAGTTAATACCACCTGGGTACATTCTCTGTTAAAGATTACTCCGCCTATTTATAGGGTGGATGAACATACTAAAGTAGCTTTTCTGTGCTTTATCTCTTACTAGCTGGTGCCTGCGACTTCATCTGCGTGGTTGATCTCCCATATAAAATTTCATGCTCTACTTACCCGGTCCAAGATTTATTTTCAGGGCAAGAATTGGAATTTAATGGTTTCCAGGATCTCAACTATCATGATACTAAAATTCAGCACGATCTATTCAGTGCCTTAGGTACGTAAGCGTAAGAAACAAACGAACTTAAATTTTCATTTATACCCTAAATAGAAAATTAAAACTGAGTTCCTATGGCCGTCTTTTAGCTTCAACATCAGACCCTGGATACCATGTAAAGACAAAGTTTCGGTCAAGACCAAACAAACGAGTCCAAATGGCCTTCTCGAGCTCTATCGTCATATCAGCTCCATGTCATCCTAGCATTGCAATGTCATGCGATATTATGAGCGCAAAATTTCAGCTCAATCGGAAACCGGGAAATATGTCAAAGCTAACTTGCAAGATTTCATTGCACACAACCGACAGCTGAAAGTTTGTAATAGTATCTGCGGCTGCTAAAATTCTTATTTTTATGTAAAAGTTATTCCAAAATATCTTAGACGAAAAGTATATTTTCGAATTTTCACTCTTTTTTGTAGGTAATCTGGTTTGGTATGATTACATTTACATAATGCTTACAATTACCTTTGATATATGAGTAGAGGGTATTGTTGCCAAATTCGGGTCACTTAAGTGGGACGTTTTTCCTCCTTTACATAAATTTCATATAATGAATTTAGCTGTTGGAAAACACTGCCTCAACTTGAGCGGTTGGTGTTCTTTGTATGAATTTCTATGGGTATACGCTCACTATCTCACATCAACTGCGTACCGCTGGTTGTGAACGCGCTGCCTGCTAGAGAATAACGCATTTCAGTTCATCATTTCTTTATCAAGCGTGTTAGCTATAAGATTGTTACTGTTAAATTATTACTATTGTACAAGTATCGCTGACAACACAAAGACACGGTCCACATACGAGCGCTGTTCAAGTACCTGGAGTTCTCCCCCCCCCAATCAGCCTACTAGAGCCGAGGTTCAAGTCACTAGCGGCTCCAGGCGGAGAGGAGATTCCCCCCCGAGGGAAGATGGCATCCGCCTGGAACAACACTAGAAGCACTCACGCAATTCTCGACTTGAGGTCGGTTAGGAACAAAAGAAAATCTGATATTCTGTTTTGTATCACAAAAATAAAATCTCTGAAAGAGTGATCCTGCAAACCGCTTTGATTCTTATTTGTTCCTGTACGTCAGAGGATTTAATTAAGATCCCGTGAAAATTTTGAGAGAAAAATTTCGGAGGTATGTTATTTTCGTAAATAAAAAGAAAAAGACCAAAGGAAATACAGTACACTACAGTTATTATTATAATGTGATTATTTTTATTGAAAATAACATACATACGCTTCGTAGTAACATTACATTACATTCTAACAATGTCTGAAAGCAATTTCATAATCTACAATAATATGGTTTTATTAACATTGGAAAATAAAACATTTATCACGGAATTCTTAGCAGTCGAAAGGAATATGCATGATTTTTGTCATGGGACGGGCGCAGCCTCCTCTCCTACCCGTCCTCCTTTAGCGGGAGGGAGCGGCCAGGGGATCAGCCTCCCGCTCCCTCTCAGCCGCCTCCTTCTGCGAGATGACTTTCACATATCCTGTGAATATGGCGTTTGTTTCTTGATTTTTTGTTATGTTCTTCTATGTCACAACTGCTCTGTCGCGTTTCAGATAATAATTAAACATCCCATAGATTTTACGCACATTACAATAATTAATATCTTACTCCAAAAAAAATATATTAACAAACATTGATGGAGAGACAATTCAAATGTAAAAGAAATTACATTCATATTCCCTAACTAATTTGGGTCCAGTGTGAGAAGTCCCATAGCACTGTGAAGTTTCGGATATGTTTACAGAATCAATACGAAGAAACATACAGATTAAGAGCTCACACATATACCCAACTAATATTGAACTTTGGTACTATTGAAAAGATTCAAGAATATAATATAATACATAAATCATTTGCACTGCCATCTCCCAAAGAAACATCACATGAAGTGAAACATAATACACCTACATAATTGTCTAGCTTCTTCATATAAGTATATTTATATACACTCATGCTTTAAACCTCTACAAAAGATTCAGACAGTATAAGGCTAACATTAAATCAATCAATCAAATCATTTATTCGTTGTCATCGGTAACAATAAGTTTTTAAAATGTGCCTTCATGACATGCTCAACAGCATACGAAAATTTGTTATCATTTTAAATTCAATAAAATCATAATCATCATAATAAAAGAATCAATACATTACTCTATACATCAATAAAAAAAATAAATCGAAATGTCAGTATCCATTAAAAATTCATTTACATTATAATAACATTTATCCACTAAAAATTTCGTCAGTATTTTTTTAAATGTATTGGTATTATAATATTTAATGCTGTCAGGTAATTTATTATATAATTTAGGAGCCATTTCTACAACACTTTTCTTCACTAGCGCTGTTCTACACATATTTGTACAAACTTGAGGTTTCCGAGGGCGAAGGCCGAGCATATGAGTCTGTTCTCTAACTTTAAAAAGATCTGGATTACTTTTCACGAAAACGCAGCACTCAAATATATAAAACATCCAATGTCCTAATCACCATAATATCATCCAAACGGATGATATATTTTTTTAAGGAAATATCAAAAAGGTTAGTCGACATCACTGGAGACCGAAGAGCTGGCAGCTACCTCGGACAAAGAAT